TTCTGCTGCTGCTGCTGCTGCAGCAGCAGCAGCAGCAGCAGCAGCAGCAGCAGCAGCAGCAGCAGCAGCAAAAAAACCCCTACAGTTCTCCGTTGCTCACGTATCTCAGGATGCGTTTAGGGGGCGCATGGCTATGGGTAGATTATGGGGGGGTTCTCTGTCTCCTGCTGCTGCTATTGGTGTTTATAAACCAACAGAAAATAAAAAAAATAATATTTATAAAGGTATTTATTTTTATTTAGTTTATTTAGTTTTTTTAGTTTTGTTTTTTTTTGTTTTTTTTTGTTTTGTCTCTTTGTTTTTTTTTGTTTTGTTTTTTTTTCGTTTTTCTGGGGGGGCTCCCTGTCTCCTGCTGCAGCTATTGGTGTTTATAAACCAACAGAAAATAAAAAAAATAATATTTATAAAGGTATTTATTTTTATTTATTTTATTTTGTTTTTTTAGTTTTGTTGTTTTTTGTTTTGTCTCTTTGTTTTTTTTTGTTTTGTTTTTTTTTCGTTTTTCTGCGTCTCTGTCTCCTGCTGCTGCTATTGGTGTTTATAAACCAACAGAAAATAAAAAAAATAATATTAATAAAGGTATTTACATTTATTTATTTTATTTATTTTATTTATTTTATTTTATTTTATTTTATTTTATTTTATTTATTTTATTTAGTTTTTTTAGTTTTGTTGTTTTTTGGTTTGTCTCTTTGTTTTTTTTTGTTTTGTCGGTTTTTCGTTTTTCTTTGTCTCTGTCTCCTGCTGCTGCAATTGGTGATTATGTTATTTATTTTATTTTATTTTATTTTATTTTATTTTATTTTATTTTATTTTATTTTATTTTATTTTATTTTATATCATTTTATTTTATTTTATTTTATTTTATTTTATTTTATTTTATTTCATTTTATTTTATTTTATTTTATTTTATTTTATTTTTATTTTATTTTATTTTATTTTATTTTATTTTATTTTATTTTATTTTGTTTGTATTTTGTTTTGTTTTTTTTGTTTTATTTTTTTATTTTTTCTGTGTCTTTATAAACAGCAATTGGTGTTCATAGAGCAGCAGAAAATAAAAATAAATAAAATAAAAATAAATAAAATAAAAATAAATAAAATAAAAAATAAATAAAATAAAAAATAAATAGAATAAAAATAAATAAAATAAAAATAGTATTAAATGTAATATAGTTATTTTGTTTATTTATTTTGCCTATATATTTTGTTTCTTATGCTGCTGCTGCTGTTGCTGCTGCTGCCGCTGCTGCTGTTGCTGCTGCCGTTGCTGCTGCTGTTGCTGCTGCCGCTGCTGCTGCTGCTGCCGTTGCTGCTGCTGTTGCTGCTGCTGCTGCTGCTGCAGCAACATTTACATCTGTGTATCGGTATGAGGGTTTGGAGTTGTCGCCTGTGAGCCCTGAGCTGCTGCAGCAGCAGCAGCAGCAGCAGCAGCAGCAACCAGGGCCCCTAGACGGCGAGCTGCTGGTTGTTGGGGGCCTCTCTCAGGACGTCAGGGTTGGGGACTCTCTCGTTGACCTAGACGTATGCTGCTGCTGCTGCTGCTGCTGCTGCTGCTGTTGCTGCTGCTGCTGCTGGTGTTGGTGCTGCTGCTGGGGTTGTTGCAGTTGATGCTGCTGCTGCTGTTGTTGCTGTTGCTGTTGCTGCTGTTGTTGCTGCTGCTGTGGTTGGTGACTCTCTTGTAGACCTAGAGATATGCTGCTGCTGCTGCTGCTGCTGCTGCTGCTGCTGCTGCTGCTGCTGCTGCTGCTTGTGCTGCTGCTGCTGCTTGTGCTGCTGCTGCTGCTGTTTCTGTTGCTCGTCCTGCTCCTAATACTTCTACTGTTTCTTTTACTATTGCTGCTGCTGCTGCTGCTGCTGCTGCTTCTGCTTCTGCTGCTACTGCTACTGCTGCTGCTGCTGCTACTCCCGCGGCTACTGCTACTGCTACTGCTGCTACTGCTGCTGCTGCTGCTGCTACTGCTGCTGCTGCTGCTGCTGCTGCTGCTGCTGCTGCTGCTGCTGCTGCTGCTGCTGCTGCAGTGCCCTTGTCCTGTGCACTTTATGCGGCCCGAGAGCCCCTCTGTCTCCGTTTTGCTGTTTCCTAATTCGTCTCCTTTGGCGGGGAGAGACAGCGGCAACACAACCACAATACTAACCCTCAGACAAAAACTCAAAACCCTCATTCAAAAGTAAACCCTAAACCCTAAACCCTAAACCCTAAACCCGTCTTTCTATCATCAACGTTTGCTGCAGATAGCTATCATACAAACTCGATGAATGGTCGGCGGGCATTTACCTCACTTGTTTAGGGTTTAGGGTTTAGGGTTTACTAGGGTTTAGGGTTTGGGGTTTACTAGGGTTTAGGGTTTAGGGTTTAGTGTTTGTGTTTCAGCGCCGTATCCGCTCGTGTTTCATTGGGCCCTGGGGTCTTTAGTTTGAGGGGCTTAGAGTCTAGGGTTTATTGTTTATTGTTTAGGGTTTAAAAAGATGCATAAGGGTTTACGAGGGTTTACGAGGGTTTACGAGGGTTTACGAGGGTTTACGAGGGTTTAGGGTTTGTGTTTCAGCGACGTATCCGCGCGTCTCTCTGTGGGCCCCGGGGGCCTCTGCCTCAGCGGCAGGGGCCCCCTACATTTATCTATTTTAATAGAAAACCTAAGAAGGGGGGGTTTAGAGCTAGCTGTTGCTGCTCCTGATATATTACCCAAGTAAGTAAAACCCTAAACCCTAAACCCTAAACCCTAATTATTTTTTTTTAGGGTTTACTAGGGTTTATTCGGTGTTTTTAGGGTTTTTTAGGGTTTATTTTCTGGTTTTTGAGGGTTTATTAGGGTTTATTATAATGTATTAAAATACTATTCTCGTGTATTATTTTTTATTAATCTTAGGGTTTACTAGGGTTTAGGGTTTAGGGTTTAGGGTTTAGGGTTTGTGGTTTAGGTGGGATGGGGAGCAGTGGTTAGAGCCGTATGAGTCTTTATAGGTTTAGGGTTTAGGGTTTAGGGTTTAGGGTTG